CAATTTGTAATAAAGAAAATTAATTGCAAAAATTAAATAGAGTAGGGTTAGAGAAAATGACACCGGAAATTTTATAGTGGTTCGGCAACAACCGGCCTACTCCACTCCCCAAGCGCCTCTTGGGTATTCGATTAAGAAACTTTGACTCTTTCCACGGTAGTAGTCAAACCGGAATAAAGCCTTCTTTTTTCTCGGGAGCAAGAAGAAACCCGATCCTTTCCACGGTTCAGGATCAAACCGTTACAACGTTCTTTTTCAGGCTCAAGAGCAACCCCTACAAAGGATATGGAAATTTGAGAATAAACTTACAAACTCTCTCAAAGAGTGGGTATACAAATATTTGCTCACAAATTTGTAAGAAAAAATTCTTACAAATAAAAGCCCTCAAATTGGCTAAAAGAAATAAAATTGGAAGCTCAAATATCTCTCAAATAAAAAATTCTCCCTCAAGAACATAGAAACAAAAATTGAAGCTTTGAAGAGAGATTAACAACGTAGAAATTTGGAGAGAAAATTGGGAGAGAATAAGTTGTATAAAATGTTGAAGGAAGTAGGGTTTAAATAGGTGAGGAAAAGTTGAAAATAAATTTGAAATCGAAATTGAATTTGGGCTATTAGATCTTTAATGATTGAAAATCAAAGGTTGGGAGTTAATTCAATAAAATAATAATTGATTTTGAAAATATAATATAATAAAATAATAATAATAAATTTTTTTTTTCTTTCACTCTAACGGCTCTTCAACGTTTTTTTTTTCTTCTTCTTTCTTTCTTTATTCTTTTTTTTTTAAGTTAACGTTGTAATTTTTTTTTTAATTCTTTTCTTCTCCTTTTCTTTTCTCTTTTCATTCTTTCTATAAACTAAAAAAAAATTCTTCTTTTCTTCTTTTCATTTTCATTTGTAAACTAAGATTTTTGACTCGTCACATGTCCTCCTCTATTCATCCATGTAGGATTTAATTGTAACGTTATTCACTTCGAGAATTTATCCTTTCAACTTGATTCGACAATAACTTCTTCGTTTGAGCTCCGATTTGGGTAATTCAAAAACTATTGGAATCCTTATTTCGAGCTCTACACCGTGGATACTTCAAAACAATAAAATTGTCAAATAAAAAAATTAAGTTTGTTATCATCAAAACATTAATTAATTAATTAATTAAAATTAATTAATTTGAGATTAAGGGCCAAAAAGCCAACAGAACGGACTACCGGAAACAATGGTGAAAAGCGAACAAATTGGAAACAGGCTGCCGGAGACAGTAACAACAGAAAAGGATAACGCTAAAAAGACGATTGAAAAGGTGCATAAATTTAGGGATTTAAAAAGTAAACCTCAAATAACTATTTTTCTATTTTGAGTTTCAATATCTTAATAATAATTACATGTATATAAAAAATGGTATATTGGTAAAATGGAGATGGGTTCCATCTTTAAGGGGTGTATTTTAAGACAAGACTGTAAATTTTGTTGCATGAATCCCTTTGTGTAGTTATCATCTTAAGATGTAGTTTAAGACAAGACTGTAAATTTTGTTGCATGAATCCCTTTGTGTAGTTGTCATCTACAAAGAGTCTATCAATGTACTCACCTCTTTTCTTATTTTATTCGAATTATCTCCCCTTTCATCTTCTTCTTCCTCCCCTTCTCTGGTGAAACTCACCAGCCCACTAACTTTCGACGACCTTCGTCAGCCATGAAGATAGAAAGAAGAATAATGGGAGGTGGATCTGGTCAGAAACCGCAACAACCCAAAACAAAAAAAGACCAACTGGTATTTTTTAATAATATAATATATATTATTATATATATATCTCTGATTTATTTTTTCACTGACCGAGCAACCTCAATATATGATAAGGGTGTTCAAAGAAATCGGTGACCTGAGTAACCCGAACAACCCAACCCAAACCGTAAGGGTTGGGTCGGGTTGTTTTTTTCAGACCCGAAATTTCGGTTCGGTTCACGAGTTAAGTGAAATTTTAGTTGGTTCAACCTGAATCGAACCAAACCAAACATTAAATTATATATATATATATATATATATATATATATATAGTTCAAAATGTCGAGCGACACGTCGACATGTTGCTCGACATGTTGAGTGTAGGCATGCTCGACATCGACACGGGGGGAAAAGTCGATTTACCCCCTATGTCGTCGACATGTCGGTTTTCTCTTTTTTTTTTAGGGTTATTTTATTTTCGTCTTCTTCCTACTATGCCACTACAGTCTACAATTTCTCACAACCTCGATGACTGTAATCTTAGTCTGTTCAATGCAACATTCGTATTTTAATACTGTATAATTAATATGATTCAGAATTTGCTTTATTGATAATTTCTTCTCTAATCTGATTCTTAATTACAATTGAACAATACATGTGAAATATTGACATATATAAAGACTGAAATAATCTTAGAAATTTTAAAAAATAAAATATTATTATATACAAATATTGGTGATACATCAAGTAGAATATGTAATTTCATTAATACTAAAAAGATGACATCGGAGGATCTAGTGTACTATCTTAATAACTTTAAATATAAATTATAATATACTGAAAGTTTTGTAGGTAGTTGCTCAGAGTAGAATATAAGTGTGTTTGGAAATTGTGTAAATTTAATTGGAAAGTTGGATTGATGATTGATTTGAAAATGTGTTTGAAAAATGTGTAAATTCAAATTTAAGAAGAGAAGTAGATAAAAAGATACGAGTTAATTAGAATTTAGAAATGTGTTTGGAAACCAAGTCCGTAATTATCTCATTTACAAATAAACCATATTATGAAATACTCTAAAAAAAAAAGTAGTCAAAAGTTTAATTTATATATTCAAATAATTTTCATCCACTAAAGAAAAAAATCTTTTTAAGATATTTCCATCGACGTCGACATTTCCATAAGTAAAATGATCACATTTTTACATTTAATGGTTAAAGGTGATCAATTATAGACTAATTAAATTAGAATTCAAGTTTTATTTGTTAATTCAAAAAATTTTATCAATTTCCACAATACCTCGACATTTCAAACACTGATATATATATATATATATATATATATATATATATATATATATATATATATATATATATATATAGCTGCTGCTTTTGTTTTCCTCCCCCCTTCCTCCCTTTCTCCATCACCCTTCTCTCATCTCCCTCTCTCTTCTACCTCTCACTTCTTTCATCCTCTCCCTCTTTTGATTTCTCATCCTCATCTCTCCCACAAAGCAAACCCTATTTATTGTTATCGTTCTATTTCCTGCCAGATCTGCTGCATCTACTATTTTTTGACGACGTTCGTTGCTATTCGCACCAGATCGGCCGCTATTCGTCGTCGTCCGCTGCTGTCCGCCCCGGATCTGGTCACCAATCGCTGCTGTCCACACCAGATCTATTCGTCGTCCACCGTCAAATTTGTTCATCATTGTTTGTTGCCGTTCAGCACCTCGTTCGCCGTCGTCACCATTCTTCCTAACCCAACCCATATCTCATCTCACATAATAAAATAATAAAGAAAAAAAGAAAGATAGAACTGGAACCCGACGATCCGATCCAATCCAACCCGAAAATACAGGGTTGGGACTATGCATTTCGGTTCATCCAACCCAAATTTTCGGGTTGGTCCAAAAATCTTGTCTCACCCGAACACCCCTAATAGAGCAACATTTGGGCAATGTAATTCTTCGTGTATTATTAACAAATTCATATTGCATCTAAGTAAAGCTTGTCACATAAAGGAAAATGATGTTATCTGATAATAACAATAATTTCAAACCATTAAAATGAAACCTCCCAATCATAACGATTAAATTAAAACTAATAAAAAAAGCTTCGTATCGCAGGGGCTAAAATAGTAATTTAACTTATTACCTATCAAAATCAATACTGTTTTTTCTCCCCCTCCTAATCAAACTACAGATGTACAGATTTTCTATTCTTTTTACATTGGGGATAAAGGCTAAAAATAAAATACTGTACAAAAAAAAGATCTGATAAGAAATTGAATTGAATCTCTTCTTTCCAAATGATGAGAAAGGGGGAATCAGAATGGCGATCCAACTACACTTTCAGCAAAAGCTTTCCAACTCAACATTTACATTCTAACATAACTAAGGATACAAAACTTATAAACACAAAGAATGATCCTAATAGAAAAAAGCCCTAACCTTCTATGGGACGTTTCCCACGAGTATCGAATCCTCGACTAACTGAAGTCGAAGCAGAAGCAGTTTCAGCAGCAGTTGCAGTTTCGGTAGCAGTTGCAGTTGCAGTTATAGTTCCAGTAACGGTATTGGTCGTTGAAGCATAGGAATCAGATGCACCAGAAGTTCCAGCAGCGGATGACGATGCACTTGTTCTACGAGATCGTCTATACCGAGAACCGGGTATTCCCGGTCTCGTTGGTTCCTCCAGAGCACCAGGTTTCCTTGAGAGGGTCAAAACTACACGCGGCATGGTCGGTCGTAGTTGCGGATCGCCTTGTGTGCACAGCAATCCTATCTGAACGCACATTGCAACTTGGTCAGGAACAGCTGATGATGCCAATGTTGGGTCCATGATCTCCAAGCTCCTGCCCTTCTTGTATAGCTTATAAGCCTGCAGCCAAATTCAGATCTCGATAAGACCTTACAGATTAGAGGTTCATGTCTCAATAAAACGTCTTTTCTCGGCCTCTCGATCGTTCTTTGAAAACAACTAAACCAGCCCGTAGGTAAGACGTGTTTATTGACTATTGAGAAGATATTAGAGTGTTTGGCTAACATTATTTAATTCGGCAGCTGACTTCATGCTTTAAACTGAGATCAATGGTAAGGATAAGCACTAAAGCAGCTGACTACTCTGTGTTTATGCGAATTCCTCTAAATGACTGACGAACTATGGCAGTTAAAACATATTACCCAATCACTAGATTCTACATCTTGGACTTGAAAACTTATATTGCACTAATTGTACGTTGATCACAACTTTATTATAATCAGTCTACATAGCCTAGGCAATTAAAAAACTTACCCAATCGAGTAGATTCTCAGCGTCAACAAATGAACTAAACGACGAGTTCCGCTGGCCACTGATGAGTTCCAGAACCAAAACACCAAAGCTAAAAACATCTGCCTTTGCTGACAAATGCCCGTGCATTACGTATTCTGGAGCCATATATCCACTATTCGTACATGGAAAAATAAAATTAGTACAAGCCCAATTTAAGTTTCACGAGTTTGACTGATTATTACATATAACAAAAAAAACTTACTTTGTACCAGCAACGCGAGTATTAACATGAGTTTGATCTTCAGGGAAAAGTCGGGCCATCCCAAAATCTGCAATCTTAGGGACCCATTTATCATCCAACAAAATGTTGCTTGCCTTAATGTCACGATGAATAATGACATTATGTGAGTCTACGTGAAGATATTGCAAGCCCCTGGCTACACCAAAGATTATGTCATATCTCCTCTTCCAATCAAGATCTCCTCGTCGGATGGATTCTGCATAGTTTGTCAGTTCCGTTATGTTGGGAATATTATTAGGATAGTAAGAGCATATTAGTAAGAGTTGGGGTTCAACTAAATCTCGGAAATTCAACGAAACTTTTACCATCAGTTTGTCTTTAAAAGTCGTCAAGGCATTTCAAAGATGTCAAATCAAAACTAAATTTTCTCGACAGGAAACCTAGATGTTTATTGCTCTATACTAGTCTAGCTAAAAATTGGCATTTAACACAAATAGAAAAAGGGTATTAATTAATGAGCTATAGTATAAAATTTTATTTGCCTAATCTGGATGAAGATGGAAATATTAAAGCAATTTTAGATGAAAGAATCGGTGCATAATACAGTTATAATTTACTAAAAAATACAGCTACTGCCAGGTAGTACAGGAATGTAGTGAACTAATCATCTATCAAATAATACAATAATATCAACTTCTTACTCAAAAGTTAAGAATTATGCATAATTATCAATGCAAATTGCAAATGCTTAAAAGTAACAAGATGAATGGGTAATTCTTTTCGTGTTTGCACTTCTTCGAGCCAAAGAACAATTAGAGGAAAACTAAATGAGACTTCAGGTTCAGGAAAAACGAATAGTTAAATTTGAGAAACTTAGGTACTTGACAACATAGACACAGTAAGAAAATGAAATCCCCAGACATTGCTTCCGATAACAGAGCATATTAGTTCAATCTTCATTGGAAGAAAGAAGTAAATAGGAGAAAGAGAGAGTCTTTAAGCAGGACTTACTGAAGAGAAGCTTGTCGAGGCTCTCATTCGTTACGTATTCGTAAACTAGTAGTTTCTCTGTTCCATGTGCACAGTATCCCAACAAATTGACGACATTCCGATGCTGCACACGAGCCAACAACTTGGCCTCAGTCATGAACTCTTTTCTCCCTTGCTTTGAATAATGAGATAACTTCTTAACTGCAATCTCTCTTCCATCCTTTAACTTTCCCTACAGATTACAATGAGTAAAAGGAACTTAGATCATAGAAATTTCAAGGAAGAATTAGAAACTTGACCAAAGGAAAAGACGAAGTTTCTATAGAAATTTCGAGGAAGAATTATAAACTTTCCTCTCTTAGTAAGCTACTTCCTCCCCTAAATTCCTTTAAAAAAAAACTATCACGCCATGTAAAACTATCACCAATCAATTAACATTGACAAGCAGAAAGCATATACTTGAAAAATATTAAATCGTGAGAGATTAAATTGAAACTTTCTAAACAATGGAGACTAAATGAAAAAACACTCAAACACTGGGACTAAAACATATATTTTACATATATTTAGCAAACTTAATCTTGATAAGTTGTTTCAAGCTCATCCCGAATTTCGCAATTTTCTGAAGTGAGAAGAAGAATATGCAATAACTCAGGGAAAGTGATGGTTTCTAGATTTCTTATTGTTCAGTTCGAGCAAATATTAAGTGTCTTTCTGAGTCAGAAAAGTTAAGTACAAACATCGAAGAGCACGCTGTTAAAACAGATATAATTTTAAAAAATGCAGAAAATGGCAACGAGATGAATTAAATACTTCCAAGTAGGCCAAATCGTTTTTAACTACGACAGCCAACAGTTTCGATGAAATAAAATAAGCACAAATGGAAGGAAAAACAAAAACAGTTTCGATGGTTCGATTCTCAATCAGAACATAAATTTTACAGTCAATCAAATTTCATTCGGATCTAACCTTGTAAACTGGACCAAAACCACCTTCGCCAAGCTTGTGATTCGGGTGAAAATTGTTGGTGGCTTCAACTAAGGTTTCGAACGGAATAAGCTTCTGTTCCTTAGCTGCAATCTGCTCCAAATCCTCCTCGCCCTGGCTCTCTAATCGAACAAATGATCGAATCGCTAAAGGAATCAGTATCAGAAGATACACAAAAAATGATTTGCCCTAACTAGAAATTGACCAGAAAGAAGAAGAAGAAAATAAACGAAGTGGGTTTTTGCGGCTACCTCTGGAGGAACCGATTCTGAAGGGTCTGATGAGATTCTGAAACAAACTCTTGGACTTCGTCATGCTCGTCTAGGCCATGAAGTTGGAAGAGGAAGGTGGAGTTTTCAAGGTCGAGAAACAGCGAAAATGGTCATGGAATCGAACCGAATCTTTCACCAATCGGAGAACAAGAAGGGGTGCTGCTGTGCTGCGACAGAGAAACGGGGGAATTCGCTTCTTGATCTTGGTTTCGAGAGTATAAAACAGAGATTGAATTGCGAGGCAAAAGAGAAACATACGAATTTGACCCAATAGACCCACTGTTTGACCAAGGAAAAGTCAAGGCCAGCTTGCAGAAATACGACGCTTTCTTCTCTGAATTTCATGTCCACCTTTTTATTAAAATTTACCTTTTTTATCTTTTTACAAGTTACCGTTCTATTTTGATCCTATATTTTTAGTTTCGTTCATTTTAGTCTCTCTATTTTTAAAATATTTCCATGATCTTAAGAAGTTACCATTTTTTTGTCCCTATTTGTAAAATTTAACATAAATTCTACACATAACAGAAACCCTTTAATATAAAGTCATAGTTATATTTCAAAACATGTATTGAATATAATGTCGTACATGTTGAAATTGTGATAGAAAAATGAGATTAAAACTAAAATTAAGGCAACAAAATTGTCACTTTTTCAAAGTGGATGAATAGAAACGAATATTTTGAAAGTAAAGAGACTAAAATGAAACAAACTTAAAATACGACTAAAATAAACTAAAAATAAAAGTATAGGAACCAAAATGAATCAAAATCAAAAGTACGGTGAGAAATAGTTTTTAACTTTTACTTTTTTAATAGCTAAAGTATACAAAGAAAAAAAATTATTTGATCATGCATTTTCAATTTTGATTCATTTGAGTAGGTGTACTCTTAAAGTATTTGCCTTAGATTATGAAGTTTTAAGAAAGGATCATTTTGGTCATTATTTACAAAATCTTAAAACAAATTCTACACATAATAAAAATCCTTTAATATAAAGTTATATTTTGTCGATTTTTTTGCAATACTATAAAAATGTTGATTTACTCCTGATTGAGATTGAAATATTGATAGAAAAATAAAAATTTAGACTTCATGTGATAACGTTCATATTTCTTATTTTTCGAGTGGAAACAAACATTTTTTATAACTAATCTCATTTCTCATTTCTGAGAGTTGAGAAAGATTTCAAAAAATAGACTAAATTAACCTTCTTAATCTTACGTACGTGTTAGTGAACTTTCCTAAATTTGCATGTGCGAATATTGAATTTCCACATCATTTTTCTTTTGTCTTTTTTGTTTTTTGGTATTTTAAATAGTAAATTGACACGTCGAAAATTTTGATTTTAACGACGTAATCAGATATGTAATTTTCTGAAGGTGAAGTGTGAACAAAAAAAAATTATTAAAAGAAAAAATTATGGAAATTCATGTTCAGGAGAAAAAATATTGCACGCGCTCCTCGAAAATAATAATAATAATAAAATTATTGTTCCGCGCTTTCTGCTCCCATTTTCTTCTGGTGTCCAATTTGAACACTGCTTTTATTTTTTTATTATTTTTTTAATTATTCTCTTCTCTCTCTTAAAAAAAATGGGTGTACCAGCTCTGAAGTAGGAATTATTGTATATATTGACGTGTGATTCTAGGTTGTGTGACACATTGATTTGATGTGGATTTTGATGTAAGCTTAATTAGCTGGAAACTTGCTAACATATTCTGCTCCGTACATTTGGAAACCTAAGTTAATATTTGATTTGAGTTGGTGTCGAGCAAATCTTGTATAAATATAAGAGAGTGTGTTCCTTTGAGAATGTGGGATTCCACAAGGAGCATTGGGAAATGGTAGCTCTGCAACTTTACCGTCGTAACTATCACTCATAGAACCTTTCTCGCTAACAGTTATAAGATTCTCTATTGGTGGAACTGAACGTTACACATGTTGGACACGATGCTCCTTCCTTCTGGTCGTTGATCCTGTTCGAGTTGAAGTTTGAACACACATGCCTCAACGAGAAGGTTCACATGTTCATATTTTTTTTTATTATTTTTCCACATGTTCAGACTTGATTTGTCCCACAATGTAGATTAAGGTTTCGTATTTAATTCAAAAATAAATTTTCTTTTCATTAAAATATAGTTTTCATCTCTAAAATTTAGACTCTAGATTCGTTTGTTAACGTTTCTGTTTCTTGTTCTTTTTTTTTTTAATAAAGAAGAACATAATTACATTTGGTAACTATTTCATATTTTCTATAAGTCAATAATGAATGATAAAACAATATATCTATTTATGATTTGGAAAAAAATGGAAAGCGAAAAAACAAAAGCTTGATTTTTTGTTGTTTCGAAAATTTATATAGAATTTTGAAAACATTTGTAGAAATGAGATAAATGATATAAATAGTTGTCAAATGATTTGGTTTCACAATCAAACTGGAAACGGAAAACAAGAAACGAAACAATACTAAATGGACCCTAAAATTTCAAAATTTCTATTTGATTTAGACCATGTTATGAATTAATTAAAAAATGACAATTTATTTTATTATCGTTGATTACTTACTAAACCTATAATTGATAGGTTATAACAAGTGAATGGATTTTTCATGTTTCTATTATATTTATATCTTTTATAAACGTCTTTTAATTTTTACAATTTTTAAAAAATATCTATAAATATTGACAATTTTATCGATATTTTCATTTCTAGAAAATTAGGTCAACTACGAGTTCTCGTCAACATGGACATATAGAAATTTGGTCGAGCAAAGTTATTTCTTATAATCCAAATTCCTCTATTCAAACTCTCAACACAGTTCATTAAAAACATTAGGTTACTTATTTGGTTTAAAATATTAATGTTTGAAGAAAAAATGTTCATATGAAAATGAAAGGACTGATTTAAATTATATTATTTTTTAAAAAATGCCAGCTTGGATGAGAGAGAGAAATTGACTGGGTGAAATGAGGGGCAAAATTGGAAAATTACAGGCGCCGTATTGTGGAGGGAAAATTAAATGAATATTGTTCTAGATAATATATAATTTTATATTTGAGAAAAATCCAAGGAGAAATTATAAGCTGTTTGTTTTGTTCGTAGAACTTCCATTCCATAGCCTTTTGATAATAATTCTTTATTGGATATATTTAGAAATTATGTTGAAAAATCCTAATCTGCTTTAGAAAATTAAAAAAAATGTTTGCTTTTTGATATTTGGAAACTGGTTTGGTTGGATAAGTATAAAAATAATAATAATAAATAATATAGATTTTATTCCATTTCGGTGAATATATATAATATACTTTCAACTTTTGATTTATTTTAATCTTATTTTTCAAAACATGTATTTTTATTACTGTGCTTTAAAAAAATGTGATTATTTTATTCTCTTCGTTTTTCTTATCCTTCTTATTTCAATCATATTTTTAATCTGACATTTCATACATTAAATGTTTTGAAATATAGCCACAATTTGTATTAAATATTTTTTATTGGATATTAAATTTGTGTTAAAATTTTACAAATAAAACTAAATTGATCACATTTTAAAAAAGTATAGGGATCAAAACAAAACAAATGTTTTGAAATTACAAAAACTAAAATAAGAAAATTTGAACGTATATTTTATACCTAAAAGTATCAAGAAAAAATTATTCCACCCTCTAATATTCATTCATTCAATACCCGAGACAACCAATTAATACATGATTATGGAAATGAAAAAAAAAATGGAGATGACCGAAAATAGTTATTTTATATTTTAATTACAATTTTAGTCCATGAACTTTGTATTTTTAAAAATTTATCTATTTAATTAATACTTTGATCCTTATATTTTTAACTTTTATCGATTATAGTACATGCAATTTTAACATTTTTCATTTGATTCTTATATTTTCAAGTGTTTGTTTTCATTTTTACATCATTTTTCTCATAATTTCAACACAATGAGTTAGTTTTCATATTTCAACACAATAATAAACACAATAATAAACTCAAGAAACTTCTTGAAATATTGTTAAAGATTTGTATTAAAAAATTTCACTGTATATAAAATTTATGCTAAGATTTTCAAACATAGACTAACACGATCATTTTTTAGAAGTATAGGGACCAAAATGCACATTCTGAAATTGCAATAACCAAAATAATAAAATTTGGAAGTTAAAAAACTAAAATAAAAGTTTTGAAAATAAAATGACCAAATTAATAGACAATAATTGAAAGTATAGGGACTAAGATAAGATTTAAACATAATTGTATTTGGTAATTGTTTTTCTTTCCTCTTTCTTCTTTCTCAAAAGCAATAATTTGTTTTTCGTTTCTTGTCACCAAAAATTTTTAATTATAAGAGTAAAAGTTTTATTTGAAAATTAAAATTTCAGATTAAATATTAAAGAATTTATGTTGTATTTAGTTTTTGATATTTAGTGATTTTACGAGTCAAAAATGAAAAAAATAATATTTCTATACCTATGGTTCGGGAAAAAACTGAAAATAAGAAACTTAATTGTGTCATTTCCAAAACTTTTACACAATTTACAAACATTTCTTTAAAAAAAATGAGAAAACGAGAAAAAAAATACTAAACGTTTATATTTAAAAAAAATTGGGAACGAAAAACAAGAAATAGGAACGTGGCCAAACGAGTCCTAACATATCCCTATCATTAACTCCATAAATTTAATGCTTATATATATATTTCTACCGTATGTTTAAGATATTTAACCACTCGTTTTGATACCAATATAAAACGTAACAATATAAAGAAATATCGACGTGTTGATGGAGATACCGAAACCCTAACTCTACTTTCTCTCTCCATGGAATTTAGAAAGCTAAAACTAGTATAGTCAAGGCTTGAGGAGGAAGGAAAGGAGTATGGTGAAGATAATAATTAATGAGCAAAAATTAGGGTATAGAGAGATTTTCAATGAAGTTGGAAAAGTCAAGATTGGTAGTTTTTGGCCAAACATAAATATGGAATGGGTCCTCTTTTTACTTTTTGGTTTCTTATTAAACGTGTCTAAACTATATGCATTAATTCCAACCATCTATCTCAATCATCCATCTATCTCAAATGGTTGAGGCATCTATCTCCAGGAAATTGAAATTTTTTTTACGAATTTTGGTTTGAATACTATTTTGGTCCGTATGTTTTCGCTTTCTATTCATTTTAATTTATATACTTTCAAAATTCTATTTGAGTCGTCATATTTTTAACTTGTTCATCATTGTCTGTTTTAGCATGATAGTTTCACTTATAAGACT